ACTGTTTCCAAATGAGGAACCACATTGGAGATTGGCAAGACATATATTTTATCAGGTATGTATTGGTTTTGATGAACATTATGATAAATGATTACTTATGTGAACCTCTATTGATGGCTTAACCTTTGTTTTTGATAGACATAGGTTAGGATTTTTGTAGAGTAATTTTGTGGTTCTGTTTTAGATTTATTGGATATGTTTTATGTGTAGATTAATAAAAGTCAAAGGGTCTATTGTCCTGCTTATGTATATGTAAACTGAAAAACAAATCCCTTGATTCAGATAATTTAGTATACAGCGATTTACATAGACAAAGTTTTGAAATGATTTTAGTTCATGTTAACACTCTTTTCCAGCCATACTTCATGCTCTATGGTGAAGTATTTGCCGGTGACATTGACCCCGAGTGCGGTGGCGAGGGCCAAATCCCTTGCCATCCTGGACGTTGGATCACTCCCACCGTCATGTCCATGTACCTCCTGGTGGCTAACATCCTCCTCATTAATCTCCTCATTGCTGTATTTAATAACATTTTCACTTCAGTCAATGCCATCTCTCACCAAGTCTGGATGTTTCAACGATTTCAGGTGTGTTGTAAACCTTTATAGTAGGGGAAAAGAATGTCAGATGTTAAAGTTTCCACTGCTGTACAGACACAAATCCAGTACAGTATTTATTTAATTTTAAGATCCTTCTAGAAATAACACAAGGAAAATAAGGAAAATGCTGTAACATTACAGCTAGTGTTGATAGCATATAAAGCTTCTTAGATGATGCAAATATGATCAAGAGAATTTAACTGATATATCTATGATATTTGAGGATTGTGTTTGATTCATGATTATGAGAAGCCATATTTACAAATTAAAGTTAATGATGTTACACTAATTCAGTGAGTATCAAGTGTACTGGTTCACATGATAGTATAAAGTTCATATGATTATTTTACTTATGTTTCTTTATTCAGGTTGTGATGGAATTTGAAGAGAAGCCAGTGTTCCCACCTCCCCTCATCATTCTGTCTCACATTCATCGTGCCATTAAGTATTGCTTCAGGCGATGGAAAGGAAAGCCTTTCCTCTATGATAATGGCCTTAAGTTATTCCTCGATGGTGAAAGTCTAGAGCGAGTCCATGATTTTGAAGAAGAGTGTGTGGATGGCTATAACAGAGAAAAGGAGCAGAAAGAACAGATGAGTACAGAGGTATGTTTTTTGTGTGTTTTCTAGGAAGGGACATGATGCAATTACTGATGTTTGATCAAATATAAGTTTTGCACATCCTTTTTGTTATCACTTGCCAGGAACAGAAACTATTTGAACTTTAAGAAATAAAGTAGGTATGAATAGAGATTTAAATCTGTCTTTCATTTGATATCAAATTTAATGAAGCCTTTTTCTTCCTTCTGTTTCATATTCATTTCCTAGATCTAATTCTTTTATTTCCTATATCATTTGTACAGGAACGAGTTCGTGTGATGGCAGAACGATCAGAATCATTGATGCAGAGAGTGGAAGACATGCATGGCAAATTTCTAGCAGCAATGAGCTCTTTAAACAGCCTTGATTTCCATGTTAAGAGGCTGGAAGAAATAGCTGAACAAACAAAAAATAGTTATGCTGTTGTCCATCGTTTTATGCTGAGCCATGTTGGCAGACCAAGAAGATCAAGCTCTCCCCGCTCAGGTTCTGCCAGTCCACGTTCTGATGGGGGAACTCCCCGTTCTCTCTCTCAGACAAGTCTTCATCAGTTATTAGAAGAAGCAGAACGTCAGATGCTAAGGAAACCTCTTCAAGAACCAGAAACTAGTGACAAAGAACAGAGTGATACCACAGATGCTGAGCATGAGACATCAAATAAGTTCTTGAAGTCTTCCCCTACTGCTCAAAGTTCAAGAGAACCTGGAAAATCAACCACAGTGGATGAAGGAATAGTGAGAGGCTTCAGTTTAGATCCAGTCAATATTTCAGCAGAAGCAAGAAAAGTAAAAACACAAGGTCGACGCAAGAATAGATTGGACTCTGAATCAGGTAGTTCTCTTGGCCGTGCATCTCGTGAGCGTAAGCTTTCTGGAGAAAGGAAGAGCAGTATCCGTAAATCTTCAAGGAAGGGCTCAGATGGGGCAAGGGCGTTTAGTCCATCTAGGGTATGTTTTATGGATATTAATGTTGCATTAGAAGATTCTGATTCTGGAGAAGTAGAGGTTAAAGAGAAAAATCTTAATGAAGAAGATGAGCAACCAAGGTATGGTAGATCAGTATCAGTTCCAGATGAGGTAGCAGTTCGCTCTCCAACTAGATATGAGAGGAGTCTTTCTTCTGTTTCAAGCCGACCAAGGATTCAGGTGATACCACCATCGTCACCACCCCCATCTTTACTTTTACTAGTGAGTACACAAGTTTGGCAGATGAGTTGGAGACAGCATGCATGGCTAGACTGTCTCCACCTTCTTCTCCAAACCTCCATTATCCTCATAGAAGTGATCCCCATTCAAGGCGACGGCACTTCTCAGAATCTGCTAGTATTTCCATTACTATCTGCCCTAATCCTCTCCGTGATGCTGAAGAAGCAGATTATCAGCTTATGGAAGGACTAATTCAGAGAAGAATGCATAGAGATTCAGAAAACTTGGCTGTTTCACTGGAGGACCTCTGTTCAGTACAAACAGACATGTCTGACAATGAAGAAGGAGTGACTCCAATACGTTCCCGCCGTGGTTCAAGAGCAGCAGAACTTCGAAAAAGACATAGCACAAGTAGCCTTGACAATGCCCCTTCACAACTACTAGCTGTGCCTGGGGCAGTTCAAATGGCAACCTCTTACACAATATCCCCAACAACTCTTCAAGCAGCACTTCGAGGAGAAGATGGTGTCCGCCTGGCATCCTCAACCCCTGGTACTCCAGGTGCACGTCGATCTTCACTAAGAGGAGATCTGCATCACCAGTGGGCTTCCTCAAGTGCTTTGCCAGCAACTGGAGGATGGCTTTCACCAAGAATTCCCCGTCCACGAACTCCACCATTCATACATCCTGATAATCCAGCATCATCCTCTGTTGATGGTGAGGGTGCCAGAAATGTTTCACAAGGTGAAGAACATCCTCACATGTCAACTCTACAAGTGCCAAGCATTAGAGAATCTGAAGGTAGGCCAAGGGACACAATTACAGAAACAGAATGTTAAGATACATGGCATATTCAGTGGAAAGGCTAGTCAAGAAAAAAGAAATGTGCTCATACTTCAATGGTGAAAGTTACTTCTGAAATTGAGAATACTAAGAAAAGCATGTTGTCAAGTGTATGTGTGACGTGTGTATGTGTAGAGTGCAAGTATTTGAACATGTATGCATTTGAAATCATATATTCACACAGTCATTTCTTTGTTATGACACCTAAGGAGTTTTTAGAAATGGAAAATAAATTTGTTGATATAGAGAATATATTTGTGCTACTCCTTTGTTATCCCAGTTGTTGGACTTCATTATCCACCCTAGTGTCCCTCACTCTTAGGAAAGGGAATATGGCATCGTATACAGACGATATACTGTAGAGGATGAATAAAACATCTTGTGCAGACTTCAGTGCCATTTTGCTGCATTTTCAATTTCACCTCGTAGGACAGTATTTACAGCTTACTAAAAGTTTACTTTAATTGGGAAGTGTAAAATTAAGGGTTATGTTTTGATAAGTTATTGTTATCACTAAATAACCATCAAATTGAGAATAAAGTATTCATTCAGTAGCATAATCTGATTTTTACAAAAAACCCTGCTGCCTGTGTGCTGCTTTGTTTTATTCATCTGTCTGTGGTTACTAAGGTTACCTTGCTGCTGTATGAATTTAAACATTCCTTAATGTTTTTGTAATTGTTTTGTGTTGATTCTCTTGTCAAGAGTGTTTACATTATAAATATTTTTTAGGTATTCTCCCTTCTTTATCTGTTATGCAGTTAAAATCTGCTCACTGTTTGTTGATCATGTTATGGGGACACTTTTGCAAGGAAAAAAATCAACAAAGTTCATGAAGAGCACAAGTAATTGTTATGTTGATATCTGGTGGCATTCAGATTTGCAGACCTCCAAGCTGCTAAAAGCTATTCCTTCTAGACTAAGGAGATGATTCTTCATAGTAGAATAAGGACAAGCATAGAAGCTATGTCTTTGCAATCTCTGTTCAGGGTATCCAAGGACGGACATGTCTTGTGTGCTGCCATAGAGGCCTGTTCATTCATTTAAGTGGCAATGTCTGTATGTGCTATAGGTGAGTGTGGATAAGTCAGTAGGTAAATAAACTGATGTTGTGCCACTGTATAGAATATGGGAATAACCACTTGAGAGGTCCTGTCATACTCCAGTTTGGCTGTGGCTATTTTTATGGTATATTTATTTATCTCATATTTATTCCTCATTTGGTATGCTGTATGTACCTGCCTGGAGGTCTTAGACTTCTGTTTTCTTAACGTTATATAATTGTTTACCTCTATTTAGCAGTTACACAAGTTATAACAACAGCATTTCACACACATGACAAATCCTTATTCAGTGTTATACTGAGTTTTTTCTTTTCTTTTCCTTTTTTTCTTGTTCTCTTTCTCATTCTTTTATATTTTGGAAATTAGCTGAAACAAACACATTTTCAGGGTTATTAGTGCTGTACACTGGTCACCCTTGGTCCATTATGATTTAACTGTTTTGAAAGTAGGATGTTACAAGGCAGTTAACTCTGTATGTTAATATTTAAAATAGAGTAATGAATATGGTTGTTAGTTTATATGGCTTTTCCATTATGTAATTACCTACACCAGTAGTTTAAAATGATTGAATCTTCCAGCTCATTTATTTGTCTCATTGTTACTGCTTCTCTTACATGCTGGGATGTGGTCTTTTGTAGTTGTTTGTTGTTTCCGGGATCTTTAACTAGGAAAGCCATTTATTTTTATCCACATTATTTAACATTAAAAAAAGGGAAATATTTTTGTAATGTAACTTCAGTTGATGTTCAGTAACATCATTTTTAAAAATCATGAAAAAAACATTTTGCTATTAGATACTGGATTCCACTTTGTATGTGTTAGCTCATTTCAGTGTGATACCATAGGCAACAACTATCACAGCCCAGACTTAAGGAATAATACACAAATGCATGCTCACACATTTCACACAAATATACACATGTATATGCACACACAACCACACACACCCACACACACACAGAAAGAGGAAAAATGTATTATGTGTGGATGTACATATAATATCAACTATAATCAGAAACAATCAAATGTATATTTATATTGAGCATGTTCATAGACAAACATAAAGGCATACTTAACAGGATCTACATGCCTTTTTATATCATGTATTGTTGTCCACAGTTCTAGTCAATCTTCCAGGTCACATTTCATATGAACTGCTGTTATGTCTTTAAAAAACACTAATTTGATATGTTTTAACTTTATGCATGTTGCCTTTTTTTAAAAAGACAAGTAACTTTGGAAACAAAGGGAGGTAATATTTTGTTTTCAATTATCACAATATTATTGCACTGTTAATTCAATCACTAGTATTTTTAGAATGTATGATCTATAATCATCTTTTATTGTATTTGGTTGACTATTATTTTTTTCTTCTTCTTACAAACCTCATTCTAATTTTCAATTTAGCCATATGATAATGATGCCATAAAGTGAAACAAAGTATTCTCTTGTTATTTTGCACCATATTTTTAAATTTTGAAATGCAGTTAAAGATGATATATTTGTAAATAGCCATTATAATAGCCTACCTAAGAATAATACGGATTCCATGCAGTGCACACCTGTATACTAGAAATTAATAGTGTTGTGTACAGATTATCAAAATATACTACAGACCATCCTGTTTCTCCAGTTGTACATAAATGTATTAAGTCCTTATTAAAAACTTGTTGATTTTTATAGATGAAAATTGTATCATACCTCAAATCAAAATTGTTATTGTTAATGGGGGATCACAAACTTTGACGTTATTTTGCAGATTGTGATTTATGTCTGACAACTTAATTGGTATGGAGGAATAATTAATCTGGGTTTTATTTGTAAACCTAAATTATTTGAGAATATTTGCATTTCTCTATCCCTGGCTGGGTAAACGCTTGTAATATTGTGTATTGATAAGAATTTTTGATGTAATCATGAAAACTCATTTTTGTAACACTCATGTTAATGAATTTTACATCTGAAAAGATGAGACGTAAAAAGATGACTTTCATTATTAAAAATCAAGCAATAATGTTTACTGTTAACTTGTTGAATTTTTACTAGTTAATTTTGGTGGTAAGATTTACTATTCAGAATAAATACCACCATATGCTGTAGAAGGTGATCATCAGTGTTCATTAAATCTCCAATGTATGTACAGCTTAGTTACTTCAGTTCATGCTTTAAAGTAAATCCTTGTTAGGGACTGTGAAGAATAAAGATATTACATAATATGTGTTGCTTAGTTCTGCTCATCAGAAACTGAACCATATCTCAAGATCTTGGTGCTGTCTGTGAATTCACCTGATTAGGACACTGAAAATCAACTGTTATTCATATTTTCAGCCAAAAAAATACTTGATTGACAGCAAATATTTCTAGTAATTGAAATTTCTGCTTATAAGGAAAATGACCTCATTAATACAGGTTCATGCTGTATCAAAATATCAGATATAACCTCTAAAAAGTAGCTGTATTAATTTTTATTGGCTTCCATCATCTTTCATGAGCTTTTAGTGTAAGTTAGCAAACAGTGACTTCAGTGCTTTTTTCCAGTTTCCATTATACTTGTCTAAGCCACTGAGCCTGAGGTCTCATTTTTTTCTCAAAAATTTTATATAATTTTTAAGTATCTGCACTTATATTATTTTGCAAGTAGATACTATGGAGGTGGCATCGTCTATTATTAATATTTCTATAGTTTTCAAGATTTTTCCACCCAATTTCATATACCATTCTCAAAGCTGTGAAAAATTACACATAGAAAACAGTAATTAATCTTAGACAGAAACTTAAATGCTGATACTGTTAAAAAATCTTACACAAGCATAGACTTTAAAATATATAGTATTCTATGACCAAGTTATTGGGTAAGTAAGTAATAATGACAAGAAAATAAATGTGCTAGACATCAAAGGTCATATAGCACAAAGTTATTGGGTAATCTCCTGAAATATGGATTGTTTCTACAGATTATTTTCAGTTAGTAATATCACAGTAAACAAACTATTCAACTAATCTATTTTTTATGTACATATTCTAGGTTTCAGTGAGTATGGTTTGATGAAAAATAGATAATTTTACTTTTACGGTTACAATTTATGGGAAAAATATTTCAGTCTATATCAGAATCAAGATTATCCCTGTAATGGCTCATATATTACTGTACTTTTACACACAAAACTGCTTCTTACAAATGAAGTATTTATTTAATGTATTTTTTTCTGTGTTAATTTTCTTTGTGCCCTCAACTCCCTTATGCACAGGCCCAAAAGCTTCAGACTAAATTGTCACAAATTTAAAGAAAGTGGTTGCTCAAGGTCATCTGGGTTAATAAAATTTATCTACAGAAATGGTATTCTACAATAGATAAAAATTAGACACCAAATTTATCATATTTTCCCAAATGAGATATTCGGCCGGTTTGTTAAAATTGTGCAAGGCCTGACCCAATGAATTTTCATAAATACAGACATGCATATTTATCAGTCTAAATATACAAATGTATATCTATCAGCTATATATCTATTTGTATGTCTAGACTGATAAATCTGCATTTATTTTTTTTATCTATGCATGTCAGTATACAAATATTTTTTGGGTTGGGCCTCGCACAATTTTAACAAACCGGCTGATAGAAACTAGCATTCAGATCTACTTAATTGAAGGTACCTTTGCAATAAAATACAAATGATAAAAGCTGACACACTTAATGGGTCCAAGAATTATAGGTGGTTATTATTACTATAGTTATAAAAATGACATCAGTTACTTGTGACTGGTCTTGTGTATACCACAAAAAACTCAAACACTAGGTAAAAATATAAATGGAGCTGATAATATAAATAAATTTAATTCCTTTCTTTACATTATTATAGATAATTTAGAAAATACTTTTGGTAACATATTAACACATTCTAGTCTGCTTTACTTAAGGAAACAAACCAAGTAATGGCAACTATATTTTTATATAAAGTAACTTGAATTTCAGAGTTACAGTTTATTGCTCAACTAATTTCTGAAGAATGAAAAATATTATACACAAACTTTCTCAAAACTTCCATTTCTAGATGTAAAATATTCAATTATTTAGATTCATCTAGTGAAAATGATATGCATAGCTATTTCTAAGCATCAAACAAATTCTATTTTTAATATAATTATGCCACAAACCTCAGTTTAACTATTAAGTAATCACTAAAGTATTTCTGTACTGTACATAAAAGCTACAAAAAAGGACAAGGGCATTACTTGAAAACCAAATTTTATTATATCCCCAATTTATTCTAAACCAAAAAGGAATTGAAATGCAATGTATATTATTCAATATATTAAACAAGATTTTTATTTCTGTATAATCTATATATAAAACAAGAAATTGTTTGTGGAGTTTAACTATTAAGGCCTGTCACACTAGGCAGGGATGATCAGCAAGCACATGGGCTGGCACAAATAGAGATGGACAAACTAACTGGTAAACAAGTAGTTTTCTCGTTGTTCTCTCACCTGTGATGTCACCTTTACTATTGCCACCCCGTTGATGAACCCACTGATCTTACCTGCTTGTGTGGGCAGGCTTTTACAGAAAAAAAGAAGATTGCAGACAGTTTTCAATTTACACAAAATAATTTAAAGGCAGTAACAAAACACCAAAACAAATATGATTTACATTGGGTTATTAGTTGAACAGAAATCATGGCAAAATACCCTTAATTTCCTAGAGGGAATGGTGCAACTTTCAAATTTGAGTGCTACAATATATAAATATTTTTTTCTAGCTTGAGGTACAGACATAGTAAAAGCTCGTCAAAATTTGACACCGTACTTTCTGTATATACACATGTTTTATATAACCAGCAACTTCAAAAGCTCAACAAGAATTTGCATGAAATTTTCAAATACAACACCTAATCTAACACCAAACTAAATATTTGCTGTAAGATGAAATATACCAGTACTTTGATGTTGCATTTTGTGAGGACTAATGCTACCAGCCACAAATATAAATAGCTTCCATAAATCATCCAAAAATGCAGAGGCAGCAATACCTCTTGACCTTTATCAAGTTTCTGTAATCATAAGACATTAAATAATTATTAATGCTATTGGCATTTGAGATTAACTTTTTTCCGCATCAGAGTTGTATGCCTAAACTTTTGATATGGCTTTGTATGAAAATTAGTGAAAAAAGAAAACTTTCAGGTGGAGGCTCAACCTAAGTACTTTTTTTCATAATAGTGCTACATAATTCTGAGTTGCAGGGTGATTGCTTCTGGTGACCAGTTCCTTTCCATTTCTCCAAAAATATTCTTATGCATTTCATCAGGAGACATAATTTTAAAAGTTGAAACATTTCAGAAAATTACAAACATATTACCACTCAAAGGTATGCAAATGACCTTACATAGTCATGCCAGTAGGCACTTGAAGATACAAGAAAATAATGAAAAGTTCAATAAATAATTTTTGTTTTTCTTTAACAGGTTACAGCATATGGTGTTTGACAGTACATGTAATGATAACATACAAAAATATCACTGGTTCTTCAACTGAATAGCACTGAAAATCCACTATCCTCCTTAACCCTTTGAGGAGATGCGGTCTGCTATAGTAATCACTGTTTTTCCAATTCTGCTTTATAGAGAAAATGTATCTTACCTGTTGCATTTCTTTTCTATAGAGTTATACTCAAAATATAATCATATATATTTTTGGCTGCAATGAGAATTGTGTAAACCATTAAAGCAGTTATTTCAGAAATATCTAGTTCCTCCAGATTTGGAATCAGATGATAAGTCTGTTAATAAAGGTAATATTAACTTTTAATAATGCCATTGGAAAATCATATCTGAAGTCTATAAGTATTCTATTCGGTAGTGTGCAAATCTTCACAAGCGTCAGTCTTTTGTCTATATGTATATATAGGTAACTTTTCCCAACTAAATTTACCTTTAAAATCTTCCCACTTCGCTTGAAAAATCAATCTTAGGTAATTTGGCTGTGCTTCCAACAATTTGAGTATTAAATTGTGCTTTTTCAAAAAGATATTAAATATAGGGAAGCTGCCTTGTAATGAAACAACATGATACTTCACCTATTACAACTTTTCATAAATCTGATGGCAGTGAACTGTAATTAATGCTGTTTTCACTGTAACATTCTCTCTCTCTCTGACTTCTATATGAATGAAACTGAATTTCTCATATAGTTAGATCATTCACATAAATTGCAAAGTCTGAGATAATCATTTATATTAGTATTTTACCCTACCTCTACAACCAGTTAGTTGTAATAAATGTAAATATTTATAAAGCTACATAAATGCTAAACAAAATTTGCTCTCCATCAGATCAAAAGGAATAAAATTGTACACTATTTCTTGTCCTCAAAGGGTTAAGTGGAGCCTTAAAGTAACTCTGTTTTGGTTCTTAAGAGATTTTTTCTACAACCTGGGTTTCATTCCAATTCCATTTACTGTAAATGGAAAAAAATTATAATACTTACATAATATATTCATATAATGAAGATCAATTAATTCTCACAGAGTCAAGGACATCTTTGAAAAGTAACCATCGTAAATTTCCTCAATTACTCTTTGGGTATGTTGCAGAATTAATAAGAAAAATAGGGATTGGTAAGGCATGTTTACTGAACCACACACAAATTTAAAGTCAAAATTAAAGTTCAAGTACCTCAATAATCATATGTTCATTTATACAAGTATTTACAAAAGAAAGTAACAGAATTTTGAGCCATACACCAAAAAGCTAACATGCACATAATCTCATTATTACTTGCATTAGTATTGAAGGATATCACATTCAGAATATTTGAGATGTTAATGATTATAAAATGAATAATCAATTTTGAAAGGTTTAACAAAAATCTTACCCATACAGGCTAGGAGCAAAATGTTTTTCTTTGTTCAAAATAAGCTCAAAGCTAGGTAGCACTGTTTTTACATAGTTTATCAATTACTGTCTCTAAAATTTTAAATGCTCACATAGTGCCTGAACATCACATAGAGCATCTTTGTTGAAAGAATGTGCACCAAAACAACCTGTTTTAAAACAGTGTCCCTTTTCATCAAGCTGAATTCCAAAGAACACATCAAATTTAATTGCATATCAAACTTAAATTTTCCACACTATGCAAAGTTTTGTAATACATGAAAGTCTATAAGCTTCAGTTTAATGGTAACATCCTAGTGTTGAACAGTCACTGCTCATAAACATACAGACAAAACAATTATAATGATGAAAAAAAAAGCCTGAAGACTTAATGGATTACTAACAGTTATAAATTTTCAAAACATAACACCACAATGTAAAAAGTTCTAAAGTAAGAAAAAAAGGATACATAAATAACTATTGGTTCTCCAAATATCATGAATATAAAATATGGAATATTTTATATAATGAAACTTATCATTTCATTTTGGCAAGGAAATTCCCAAAGAGATCTTGTTTTACTTGATCTTAGCCTATTCAAATCCACCAACATTTATTCACTTTAAGAAATAAAGACTGATACAAACTTTCCAGTGTAAAAGAATTTCTGATCTGAAGATTTTACATATGTAACAGTCACTGTAAACAATTTTAAACTTGGAGCATACAACTACAGATATTTATATAGCTTTAGATTCAGAGACAGTAGTGTTATGGATACATATTTTCCATGTCTCCCTTTGTAAATTATTACAATGATGCTTTCCCTTCCTAAAGTACATACTAATGGTTAAATGTCCAATACACTTCACTTTAATAACTGCTTACATTCTAGAAAGTGGGTTGGTTAACAATCTACTGAACTGGTTGTGGCTGAGAAGTGGCAGGTGGGTTGCTAGGATTCCTTGGAATGACTCTGGTGGCAACGTGGCACTTACTGAAAGGACAGGGGAATTTGATATTCATTAATGTCTAATTTACATTAATGTCTGCCTGCAAGTGTGACATATTGGAATTATTTATGAAATGAAATAATTATGTTAAAAATGCAAATCAGAATTTCTTTCTATTTAACCTAATGCATTAAATCCGTCACAGCTAAAACTGGTAATTGCTCGAGTTTTAGAACTTTCAATGATAGCTTTAACTACACGTCCAACTGCTACATTAACAGCTTGGCTTACCTGTGATTGGGGGCATCCCAGGGAGATTAATTGGGGTAGTCACTGGCATTCCTGGGATTGATGGCATTGATGGTGCTAGTGGCCACAAGAAAAAAAAAGTCTAAATCTATAGTTCATAAAACCAAAATATAAATTACCCACTGTTGGGCTACTTTGTTGTGAATAAAAAGTGCATGTGATTACAGTCCACTGTAAAAGGCTATACATATGCAATTATAAACAGACAGAAGTGAACTAACAGTAAAAGTAATTATTGTGGCAAACAGACTGAAAAATCATGCCAAAATGTGCTAAAAAGCAGTTCTTGAAAATATTTAATGACCTAAATTGACACACATTACTGCTTTTACTTTCCTCATAAAAAATATATTCAAGATTCAATTTCATTTTTAAACAAGAATTTACTTATAGGGTACCTTGACATGCATAGTTCTTTTCAGGCAATCATATTATTTATCTACAAGTGAGTCCATTGACTTCAAAAAAGTTAAGACACACATCGATACTAACCTGCAAAAGTGGGAGGAACTGGTGGGTGACCATAGGTGGTGATGAGAAGTACTGATTCAGAGCAGGTGGTGGTGGTTGAGGCAGAGACATGGAGAGGTAATGCCCACACTAGGTGGTGCACCTTCAGACCCTCCTATGACTGGAGGAGCCATGACTGGGACAGTTGGGGCACCACCCATCATCAAGGGGCTTGGCTGTGGCATGGGTGAAGGCTGAAAGTTCATCGGTTGCATTGGTATCTCAGTGGAGACTTGCATTGGTGGCTGCATGGGCGTTTGGAGAGGAGATGCGATAGATGCTGGATTTGGGATGGGAGTTTCAACTGGTGCTTGGACTGGAGCATATGATGTAGTGGCAATAGGGGCCTGAGAATAAGGTGTAGGAGCTGGAACAACTGGAGAAGTGACACTTGCTGGCAGCTCAGCAGGGGGGGAATAGGAGTTGGAGTGAATGGTGAAGGAGGTGGTATACTGGGCACAGCAGCAGTAGCAGCTGGCATGGCAGCAGTTGTAGCAGCAGTTGCTGTGGCTGTAGCATACGCTGGATTAGCTTCAGGGGCTGCTGTGAAGGCAGTGGGTGGAGGAATTGTAGATGTTGCTGTCGTTGTGCTTTCTGATAAACTCATATCACTTATACTTGATACAACTGTATCTACACCGCTTCCAGTGGCCACCTAAAAAAATATAAAAGTAATATGTATTATAGAATCAAATGAGAGTAATAAAAGTGTTTCTCATCTAACTTATCTTATCAATTACTGATGATCTCATATAAACACTTATCAACATTATCAGAAGACAGTTTACGAATCAATTCCAAACTACTTGACTCACCAGTGCTCAAATTATTCAAATCTAAAATTATTCAATAAGAACCTTTCACTTTTTTATGCTTAAGAAAATTCTTACCTGTAACAATGGTTCTGATGATGAAGAAACAGACTCTGGTTGAGCGGGCTGTGGTGTTTGGGACACATTACGCTGGGTAGGAATGCGATGAAGATATCCGTAGCCAATCCCACATCCCAAGCTACAAGATAAAAAAGTAAATATATATGTGGGGAGAAAATCATTATAGGAATTTGTTGTTAAATCCCTTTGCCCCTGTATGTCAAAAACAGATGGAATGCTCATTGTAATTTTAGTTAATGCATTAATGGCTCCACAATGCTTTGTTACCAATGAGTGTTACCAAAGTGTCTATGTCTCATCTGTTTACCCTATTTACGATTCTTTATTTATACCTTTATTACCTTCATTGTTATTAGTATTTTGATAACATTATAACAAACATAATGTCAGTAATAATAATAACAGTATTTATATCAATAGCATTGGAGTGGAACTTCCACAAGTTCAAGGAATGAGGAAATCAGGTGCCCACTAACTGACTCCTTGGTGCCTGAGCACTTGTGGAGTCATCTCTGCAACAATATTCACAAAAAACTACAGAAGCAAATGAGTTCAAAAGATGAATAAAATGAAAAGCCTGCAACATATCCCACATTCAATCTACATATCATCCATCCCAACATTCTGACCATTATTAGATTTCCAACGTTCTCTGAAAGTTGACTTATGATTGGGAATAAAGAAGACAGATTCTCACCTTCCAGACCCTCCCACTGAGTATCGGGTGTGACGGTCACTTCCCGACAAGCATCTGTGTCAACATTGTACACATAGAGCTTGAGTGGTCGACCTTCATGGGCTTCAATGAGTGAGAAGAGATCCTCGCTCTCATGCAGAACTGAGTCAGCACCAATGATATAATCTGTGTAAGCCTGGAGGCCAGCAATATCAGCTGGAGAGTTTGGTTCAACTTCCTGTAAGATTGAAAAAGAGGTGCTATGTAACTTTTACAAATTAACTGGTATACAAACATACATTACCACAGGTTTCTATTTAAGCAAAACAAAGAGCTTTGTCAGTAACTTACAAGTATATGCCAAACATTCTCATTTGCTCCCTCAAAGGAACAAAATCGGATGGACACACCAAGTAGCCCCTGTCCACCCCAGAGGTTGGAAGGGGTAATAGACACTGTTCGTAAAGTTTGGGTCTTGCTGCTATAGACAGTCATCTTTAGCTCCTTCTCAATTGAGCTTTTTAAGAGTTCTTTCAGCGTATCATTGTCTTGATCCTGCAAATTAAGATTTTAAACAAATTAATTTCCCATCAAACAATCCCTATCCTCAAAACCAGGATTAGGTTAATTATGCATAGAGTAAGACATTTAAGAAGATGAAATTATTAGGCACAACCTGATATATCTAAATATTCTGGTTCCATCATCAGTATCAATCTCAGATCATGGCAAGTAATTAAACAACAATCTATAAGGTTGATGAATAATCTGTTCTTACCAATCTTGTGTTTCCAATAGCAACAATGAAATCAAAGAAAGCTTCTAATCCTGCTAGTTGGCCGGGAGAATTCTCTTGGACCTGGAGGAAAATAAAGATTTACAATAAACATGGTAAAAGGAATGAATCATCAATGATTCATTGATGAAAAAATCAATGATCATCAATGACAAATTGGCTTATACTTCTATGACCAACACCTAAAATGAATATGTGCTCGTAAAATAATGATTAGTACTTCCTTTACCCACTCACGATGGGATTTCCCTGCATCATACTGTGCCACGGGGAGGGCTTTGCACACAGACGGCCACTCAAAAAAATATAAGGAAATTATGATCACAAAACTTCCGGCAAGCGTAACTTTGTCAGATTCTTTAAATTTGGTTTTATTTGAAATTTATGGTATCCACTGGAAAATGCATTGCAAGATCAACTCATAAGCAGCTTTTTGAATTTCGGAAAAATAAGGGTGTAGGAAATTTCTATTGACAATGATGGTCTAAAATAATACCTGTCCAGGTATCCCAAAAAATCTAGAGGCAATGTTAAAATTGGCCAACAATGTGGTCTTTGTACAGAGTTGAAATGGCTATTGCACCTGGCCTTTAGTACTGTCTAAGATATTCATTTCTGATGTGCCTCTAAATCAGTCAATTCAAAAGAGCATTTTCATATCTTGGAAAAGTTACAAAGATGCAGTTTATTTCTGACAAAATAAGTGAATAAATAAATAAATATAAAAAAATTGCACCAATTTCAAAATTGGCTCATGACTCAACCTTGGTATAGAGTTGAAATAACAGAATATCATGTATATATTTCTAGGAAACTAGCAAGCTGTGGACAGCACTGCAGACCATTAAACTAATATATAATAGTAATTGGCAATAATAATAATAAAAATGGCAGTATCTCTTCAATTACTCCAGTCTGGGATAAAAAGCTCACAAATATTTAGCACACAGAATTTGGGGCAGTCCCAATCATGCATGACGTGGTTAACTGTCACCGGGCATTTGAAGACGATTCATGATAACATGATCAAACATCAACTGAGTAGCTACTCCAAGAGGGGGTAATCAAAGTAAGACCTTCCCCAGACAGGGAAGAACATACTATCATTCTGGGATAACTGCTCAAATACAAAGTTTCTTAACCCCTATGATCTGAGTGATGTGACTGTCTTGTCATGGATAAACTTAGATTGAGGGTCAGGTGATGTAAACATGCTGCTAAAATGGCCATGGGCTGGGTGACGCAAACTTGCCATCATGGGTGAAGGCCAGGGTGTAAGAAAAGACTCGCCACAAGTGCACAAACCTGTTAGTGTGTGATTAGGCTCATTTGGCATTTAGCATGGGACTTTAGCAGTATTCATATTAATAAACAAGTGTGGAATGTAATAATGTATGCAGGCTGTGAATGGAAGAGAGCAGGCTCTAAGAAGGATGCCATTATCATGCTTATATTCCTGGCCACTGTGACAGACAGCACTGGTTATATTACATAAAATTGAAAATTATGAAAAAATTGATATATGACAAATAACAAAATGTTACATATTTTTTTCCCCACTTGCACTGAGTTAAACTACTTAGAGAGATAATATGAAGTCTGTGCAAGGAAAATAATCTATTACCATCTGGATAAAGCAAATCAAAAGACAAATATGAACATTGGAAAATGGCTGAAGAGCTAAAATAGTTTACACAAAAACATTTTGCAAACTGGAGGCACAATCATGTCACCGCTCACTAGTATTTGCACATGCCCAGCCTACACACTGCACGCCCAGGAGAGTGGCCACTTACGAAATTCACTGCCCGTTTTTTCAGCCATGTGTTTGCTGTATGCTTCCAGATCCAACAAGTTAATTAATAGGCCAAGACACTGAAGAATGTGCTAAAAAGAATTACATACACAACTTAGTGTTCTATGCAAGTGGCTAAAAGGAAATCCAATTGCAACAAGCAATTGTGAAAGAATAAGGGCTGAATCAGATACTATCCCTCATCTAGCTTGATTCTTAGTAACTGAATAAAGATAAGCATGCATGAGTTCTCATTACGTCTCGTTCAAACTTAAGCCTGGTATGCATGCACTCTAAATGGCAATAGGCTAAGCCATATGCAATTCAATAAATTATAGAACTATAAACTTTTTGTTTTCTTCCTTCTCAATATCTTCATATTTTTCTCATCAAAATGCAGATAAGCACAAAAGTAACAGTAAAACAGACTGAATTTTCTGATCACAGCTTCAGATTTAAAGATTCGCACTGCCTATTGTTACGGCAGCCGTAAGCAGCACCAACTGCGCTCATACAACAGCAGTGCCTTTTGAGCATGTGCGTACTGTTTGGGTTCTGGTTTTACATTCTACAAAAATGGCGGGTGATGCGAATAACCTAACCTAATCTAATCTAATCTAACCAGTTATGTTAGGTTATGTTGGTTATGTTAGGTTAGGTTTGATTGGGTTGGTTAGGTTCTGTTAGGTTGGTTAGGTTAGATTATGTTATGTTGTTATGTTATGTTATGTTATGTTATGTTATGTTATGTTATGTTATGTTGTTATATTAGATTAGGTTGGTTAGGATATGTTAGGTTGGTTAATTTGGTTAGGTTAGGTTAATTTAGGTTGGAAATGGGAAAAGGCCTCATCAAATGTAAGTAATTGTCAAAGTGACCAGATTATGCGCTTACGCAGTGGACTGCCGTAACTCTAGAATATGGATAAGCGAATACGGATGCTGTAACACTATCCTGTGCCTTAAATATTTGTGACAAGTTTGAACTGACGAAAAGAACACAAACCATTCATTATTCATATAATCATATGATACAACATTAACCCAATAACAATGGGTGTCCCATATATGAGACACCTGAAAAAATAAACATTAATGGTTGTCCCGCCAGTGTGGCGCTGTATCGGGGCTCAAGCCCTGACGCAACAGCGGGCCATGGCTGAAAGGTGGACAGACTCCGGGGAAGCACCGCCTGCCAATTTTGTAGCCGCCCAGAATCTTTTATTTTTGGCTTCAAAAATACCGGCGAGAAAGGGTTAACCTACTGAAGCCAGAAATGGCATGTATATACATGCCATGTCCACTGTGATTTTCGTTTATTTATTGTTTATCAATAGATGCTCTAAGACTGTTTAGTCAACTATACGTCCTTTCTAGCTCACATGTTTACCTTCAATTTGTATTAGTCCTCTAATAATCTTATAATTGTCATGATACAAATATTACAAATGACAGTATGGGTCTTAGCATTGGGAAGAACTGTCCAAAAACCTAAAAGTAAGGGGAAACCAGATGAGGTCACGTAGGCCTACTAATTGACATTGGTGTCTGACCACTTTCAGAGCCATCTATGTGCAAGCAAAATTTACAAAACAGAACAACAGTTGATATTACATGCTCCATGCAGCAATGGGTTAAACTTGACCATAAGGATATGAAATGCAATATGACTGTCAATTTTTGGTTAAAATCCTTCCAATTCTGGTATACATATGAGAATTACACATATTGGAGCTGTGGAAGACTAATCAACCTCTCTCAAAGCAATTTTGATTTCATACTACAAGTCAACTCTGTTCACTGAACTCATATTTGAAAAAGGAGGCTATGTATTAATATTTGTATGTAATTGCGCGATTTTAATAATTCTAGATGCAAAATGATTGTCCAGTTCATATCTACTAACTGAAGCTAAGTCATGCATTATTTCCACCAAATACATTTTTTACTGAAAAATTAATGGCGATTTTTTTTGACAAAAAAGGTAACTGAAACATTGTCGTTTCAGATAGATTTACATAAATGCTACAGTTGGTACTCCTATTTGTTGACTAACTTTGGTCAGAAGGAAACTGCAGTACTTTTAACTATAAGGAAGCCATTACATAATTTTCGAATTCTATCATCTCGCTCGTTTTTTTTTCTAGCGAAAAAATTATGCAGTTTTTTAAAATCAAATTTCTTGTACTCAAGCATCACATATCCATGCACATTGTGTAAAAAAATTTTTGACCTTGCTAAAAAACTAAAGCGAGGAGGACTGGAATTTTGTGCCTGTACCGATGACTCTTTCCCTTAACTCAATTCTGAATGTCAGAACTGAATACCTGAATTTAGTCTATGATAGTGCCATTCAATAGATTTTTTACCAGACACAACCCTTGTAAATAAATTTCCCTATGAGAGCTCGTTCTTATGCAAAGCATCATAATTTCCTCATATATTACATAATGAAATTGACACTTCCCTCACTACTATCCCATATATATTTGGGGGAAAGGAAAATGAAAATCTGCAGCATAAACTTTCAATACAAAAGGCTTTATAGTAATTCATTACTCCAGTGCCACCCAGATGCCATGTGCATATATGCAATGTCCACTGTGAGTGTAGTTTCTTAAATGTCTTTACACAGAGATGGTTCCACAAATATTAACTTACTAGTGAGCTAATACTAGTACAATCTCACATGTTTACCCTTTCCTTGATTTTTGGAAATATTTTCTTGTATCTTATATTGCCATTTGTAATGTCAATTACATCATAATCATTATAATGTCTATAATATATTGATAGCATCAGCAATTTTTTTTTTTTTTCAAAACTCTAAGACTCGTGACATCAGGTATGTGAAGTATTCATACACAAAATTTTAAAAGAAATTAAAACATTATATATTAATATATTAATATATTAATGTGATGACAACAGGAAAAGCTAGAGAAAATAATAATCTGTTTATTTGACACACAGCCTTTTAACTTTCTGGTTCATTAGCCAACAAGGCCTCTGAGTGTGGGAAAAAGAGGGAAGTCAGCCTTTAATCTATTCATCTATTCACTTCATTAGCTAAGGAGCTTTAATTTTGTTTGATTAAGTGTTTAAATAGTGAATAACATAATTTCATTTGTTTAGCTAAAACATTTAGTTCTTGATTCTGAATTTTTCCTTTCCATACATGAGATTTCCTGCATAAATTGAAAATAAAGAAAAGAAGACACAGAAATGTTTGACTCAAGGACAGTGACCAAATTTTTCCATCTCAATTATTGTTCATAATGCACTATCAAGTCCTAAACTGACTGCAAAACTCATTACTGTGATATGTCAATTAGTGTGGTGGTACACATTATCAATGAAGATTTAGCAGTTGATGGAATAAGGAAGTTATGAATAATAAAAATATTCTTCAAAGACAATTCATTTTCAGATCACTGGAATTAGAATCACATAACATTCTCATTTCATATCCGTAATTTGCCTTGTCTCATTTTAGTGAGCCTTATCTATTCCTTACACAATATTGTAATAAGAAACATGGTTGAGATGGGTAGTCCAAATATATTTTCTCTGACATTGCAGGAATATACTGGCTGATTTGCTAATCAAAATGTATTTCTAAGATGATGGTTATCTTCTGTGTATACATGTAACCACTTTGTTAAATTTACAGTGGATAAAAATCCGGGTTATAGCAAAAAAAAGTGTATGGAATTACCTTGATGTAAACTAAGACACTTTACATTCATGGCATAAAGTGCACAAATTGAAAATAAAGGAGATACATGTGAGAGAAGAGAGAAGATTGACCCATCTTCTTCCAGTTCTTTGCCATGATTATATCCCGAATGTAAACAATACTATGACCACTTAACTCATTCATGGATCACTATGCACTTGTGAAGACAATTAGTTAGTAAATTTCAAAGTCTGATATAATGCATTCCCCTATTTCTACTAAACCTTTTTTTTCCCATGTTTTGATAGCTTTACTCTATTTTTACATAAACCTAACGTGCATCTGCACTTTCCACCGGGACTTTCAAGAGCTCGTGACCCCATTTTTTAACAAAACAGCGGTGAGGAATGCTTCATTTTCAGTGTTGCATCCATTCGGGGTCCTTTGTAAAACAATATAATGGCCATGCAGAAGAAATAGACCATAGTACCTATCACAGCTTGATATTTGAGCCAGTAAAGTGCCCTAAAAGCTGGAAAAGTGATTGGAAACCAAGCCATCCAGAAAATAGACAGAAACAAAGTAAAGTTTAGTATCTTGAGATATAAAGGTGTTTGGTTTATTATTTATGGTATGTATGTTGCTCAATCTTGCCGTAAATACCGAAGTGAAGAGAATGATTCCCATGGGTGTTGGGGGGGCAGAGCCTTCCATCAACCCTCCCACTGGACAGTGCCTGAAGGGCACGCCTAGTCATGGCAATTTAGATTGTTAAATAAAGTTTGTGACATGGAATCAGGTTGTTTTATTGGTCAGGACATATAGAATGGTGTGAATTCCCATAGATTTACCAAATGGCGGATTGGATTCCCATAGTTTTTTTAAAGTTGGCATGTTGGTCTGTAAACATTCAAAGATATCTGACACATCCATAGAGTTTTATTAGCCAATTTTGAGCATTTAAGGTGCTGGTTTTAGGCATTTCTGTTATCAATTTCAGCTTGTTTTACCGCATAATTCCCTGATATACTTCAAGCCCTCCTCTGATATAAAGACTTAAAACATCATGATTGACGGCTGTGATTGCTTCAGAAATGATCATCAGATTTGTTCTCATCACACGAGAATAAATCTGATGTATATATTGTCTGGGAAGTCCGATTGTCATAAATAGTAATATAACCAATGCTTTACCATTCATTCTTCTTGTATTATTTATCTTTAAAACAATTTCACAGAAAGACAGCCATAATGACATTTGCTTGCCTAATAACTCTCTTTTCTAAATTTCCCTATGAATACAATCACCGAAGCAAAATCAAACTGGTATATTTTCCTTCCTTGGAACCCTAATCACAAACTCTGCAATTTCCTCTTCAGACGTCCATATGACAGATGAAGTCTTGCCAAACTCTGCCCCTTTAACCATAACTAAAATCGCAAGCTTGTTAAAACCCTTTTACCCTCATCCTAATGATACTAAGCAACGACTAACAACACCCGAGCAACAGACAGAATAGAGGTTAATAAACAGATCCTAATCTTCTCCGGCATAAAGCGGACGTTCTTGCTTTTCTTGCATTCTATCCTCCTTTATCTCACCCTCAGCACATGGTATCCTTCCATGCCACCGCCAGGGATCTCCACGCTGTGTGATCCTCCCATGGTGAATATATCCTCCTCAGAGAGACGATATGTCACCCGAGCCACGAATTTTTTTGACAAGCGACCCCGACCTCAGCCCAAACAGACGTGGCACCGAGGATTGTGGGAAACAGCTGATGCGGGGGAGGCGATTTCACGGAGGATTGTGTGTATTTTAATAGTTCTGGGGGACTTATTGAATAATAAACAGGCCTCTATTGAGAAAATTAAAAATATAGAACCAGTGATGGTATTTTTGGGTAAAAGAAATTGGAAATAATACGTTTTTTTAACTTTTTGTTCCTCCGTTTTACGTTCTGTATGACGACGTACGGGTGCCGTAGGGCTGTCGACGTATTTCTTGTTTGCGTCATGTAGAGTACACTGACACATATTTGTTATGGTTTTCCTATAAGTCCAAATGATTAACTGAGAAATTTATAATCTTGCATGTCTTATTCTTTTCCTCAGTGTTTTCCCGGTGATATAACATCTCCCCAACTGTGTGTCGTTTGAACACCAATTGCAAAATAAAAACTAATCAAGTACTTAACACAAAGTGTGCGTATGTGTGAGTGGGTGGGGGTGGGGGGCGTGCGTATGTGTGCGCAAGTGAGTTCGCGTGTCTGATATTAAACACTGGCTGTATTATCCAGCAAGAACGTACTGTCTCCCTCCTTAGTAAGGCTCGGTGAGTCGATATATATATATATTATATATATATATATATATATTATATATATATATATATATGTGTGTGTGTGTGTGTGTGTGTGTGTGTGTGTGTGTGTGTGTGTGTGTGTGTGTGTGTGTGTGTGTGTGGGTGGGTGTGTGTGTGTGTGTGTGTGTTGTGTGTGTGTGTGTGTGTGTGTGTGTGTGTGTGTGTGTGTGTGTGTGTGTGTGTTGTGTGTGTTGTGTGTGTGTGTGTGTGTGTGTGTTGTGAGACATTTAAGTCGCCAGGAAAAACAGCTATGCTAAAGCTGGCAATAAGTGTCTGAAATATATGGATCTCATTTCCTGTAATGTTCATGCTTGTATTTGTTCACACATTTAAGAGAATGTGAATATCCGTACTTCTTGTGTTATATTTACAACGTCAATTATCATAAGGATACTACCATTACAGAATTGTATCCCTGGGCAGTATCGATTGACTTCCGTGGTTGATATGAAGAAAAAATAAATTTAAAGGCAATGCGCTCAAAGTAACCCTTACTTCGTCCAGAATGGTAGATTCATATTTCTCAATAAATGCTACAAGAACTCTCTCTCGACAATATCACAATGTCTATGCATAGTTCTTTGTTAAATTAAATACAAAATGAAATTGACTACCAATGGCAGTTTTTACATAATTTGCATGTCATACATTTTGCAGCCATTACGACTAACAATCTATACACCCGGTAATGGTGGATTTGCGTATGACATTATCCAATTCCTCGCAAAATTAAACTGAAAGGGAAGAAATCACCCTTTTGATCTTGCAACTTCACCTGTGCTACAGACATTTCCCCATTACGACTTGAACGGTCCGACGAACACTGACCACTTTCTCTGACATTCTGTCTCGCTAAAATCTGTGAAAGAATTATCGCCCACTCCACCAGATCAAAGAACCAGGTCCATCCATCTACCTTTGGCTTCCAAAAAGGAAACGAACACGTGTCTAACAGTATTTACACGAAAGTAAGTCTTCATAGTTTTCATGGGAACTTTCGACAGAACCTCCCCCAACTGCAATTCTCCATGAATTAACTCTTAGGAATTAAGTACAAACCTTTGCTAAGTATAAAGGTCTTTAAGGAGAGCAAAAGTATGGTACCAAGGCACCTGCAGTGCTCATGGTGAATTAAGGCGCGGTTCTCCTGGTCTTGTGTAGCGCAGGTCTGGCCGAAAGCGCGGCTCTCTGGGCCGAATCGCATCACCATGGGGCGAAATCTGGGTGGTGAGGGGAGCCAACGATAACCCGAACGAGAGCGTCTTTTTCCTCGGGTATCCGGGCTTTCCAGGGTGCAATTTCATGTTGTCAGTAATTCGCTTAAAGAAATTATCAATATTAGAGAATTTACCTAAAGCATCTAGAGTTAATAATCACAAAATTTGTTTTTAAAACGTGTAGATGGAATTCTCTATCTCCCTCATGGCATCCCCACTTGCGCTCTACGATGCCTCCACTGATTCTCATGGATCAACAAGGACTGATGTACAAATGCCTAACACTGATCATAAAGAAAGTGTGCGAATATCAAACAATACAAGCACAAGTGATGCCGAGTCAGTAACTATGTTACATCCCAGTAAAACGGTGGAGTATAGCAGCGACACCTAAGTATTCGTTACAGCCAGGGTATACCTGGCCCAGAATACATGGCAACTAAAAAATATACTTCACCGAATTTCTAGACTACCAGAGAAGGGTAGTCTAGATGTGAGAAGCTGAAAAAGTGGACATGGTACCATCTGGCATCACGGAGAGACTTGCGATATATGGACCAAACCTAGAAAGTCTATAACGGACTGTCTCAGAGAAAGAAGGTCAAACTGGGTCAGATATGCATAGCATATTAAACACTATGCAATATGTATAGGATTCAGGTTTGGAGGTAAAGGCAGTTTTGCATTGCCAGTGCAAAATATGCAATCAGCCCAAGTCGCATAATCTAGCCCATTATTTAGTTGAACGGAAGCTGCATCCTGTCGCTCAGACCCTGTCTAGAAAATGGCACATTCTTATATTATTTTTTACTGACGCTACTTATGTCTTTGATATGATTAGTCATATATTTATTTTCATTATTTGACCTATCAGCTGATATGTCAATACTATAAGCACAATGTCTCAGCACTTCAGGCATATAGAATTGATGATACACTGATAGCCTTCAATAGAGATAGAAGCAGTCAGTTTGGATAGATGCTATGGTATTTTACCCCAACTTTTTGCTGGGTATGTACATTGTATTGTAAATAAATCATAACCACATCCTGGAGAGACCGGCCCGTTGATAAATTTTATCTCATCCGTACAGACAAGCGCCGAGGGTTGGTATACTATACGTAAAACAACCCTCACGTAACGTACAATACCGGATCGACAAAATACTATTCAGTGAGAAAGTATGGCTTTATTCACACACCTGTATGGCGAACCGGAACGTGGCCAGCGCGGACCGTTACGAACAGTTGGCGGGAGTATTCTAATGGACCGGGCAGTTGCGGATCTGTTTTGATACATATTTGAGAGTGCGACCATGGTTTCGCCACCTACCGGCACCAGCGTAGCCCTTGCCGTAAAGCGCGGGTCACCTAGCCTTTTTTACGTCTAGAACCTGACTTGTGTACGAGCAAGGTCTATATAAGTACAGGTCTCGTCACTAAGCGACTCAAATTCGTCCGTTTCGCGCATGATGTTACTTGGCGTAAAAGCCTGGGGGTTCGACGCTAATTGTGGTCATTTTTGGATGTGTTATAGAGCCGTAAAGATCTCCCTCTCTCCATTTTCGCTCGCTTGACTGACTGGTGCGTGCAAAGCTTCAATGCCCAGTAGTTGTTCAGAGGTTGGTTGCCAGACTTAGTGCTTCAACTGCGAAAAGCACCGCCATAACAGACCTCACCTCTCGCCAAAATAACTGCTCATAGTATTTCTCGTTTGAGCAACATTGAACACAAAGACATTCTGTTTCACCGTAGTTTCGTGTTTCATGTCGTTTTTATTTTTTTACTGATTCAAAATAATTAATGCTAGTCTGTTGGGCCGTCGATGCGAGAGTAGATAAAATCAGCCATTCCTGTTGAATCAAATTTGAACATGTGTATACATACACACAACATGTGTGTATCATCAATGTGGATCTAACGCCGACGGGGGCGCATAGCCGCTTCCACCCCTTTGCTTGTACCTAACAGGGTCCCTCATGGCAAGCTGCCAGGCAGGAACTCGGCCCATCTCAAGCTTCTCACGACAGGTTTGATCAATCTGCCCAAGCCACGACTTCCTAGGTCATCCTACAGGCCTCCTCCACCCAGGGCTTTCTCGAACAGAGACAACCTGGTGACCAGGATCATCCTGAGGGAAACAAGCCAGGTACCTGTATAGCCAGAGTTGGCGATTACGGATTGTGCAGGTAATAGGTCCTATGCCAGTCTCACTGTGCAACCGTTGGTTTGACACGTGGTGTCAATCCAGCGCAAGGACTGATTGCAAAAGGCATCAGACGTGACTCCAAGGTGGAGGATAATGTCCAGGATTCACTACCAAATAGCAAAACTGTCATCACAGCCTTGAAGACGTGTAGCTTGTTCCTTCTGCACAGGTACCGGCACCTCCAAATACTCTTGTTGAGAGAGTTCATGACCCCTGCTGCCAGGCCAATCCATCTGCTGACTTCCTGGTCTGACAGCCCAGGGTTATGAACTACACTACCAAGGTATGTAAAGCTCTCTGTGACCAGTTTCCTTGCCACAAGCACTTACCGACTGAACAGTTTCTCCTAGCAAGTCCCCAAAGTCCTGGACCTCTAGACCCAAGGGCTTCGCTTCATTACTAAATGCACCAAGAGCCAGCACTAAGGATTCCAAAGACAAAGAATAGCAACATCATCAGCAAAGTCAAGGTCGGTAACCTTGATATTGCCCAGAGTTTCTCCACAATGACTTTGAACAGTAGCTCTGCCCAGTGTTCAGTCCATGCGTGTTGAAAAGTGTTGGTGCAAGGACACAGCCTTGCCTCACTCCTGAACAGGAAAGAAGCATGACAGGTCCCCACCACACTTTACAGCACTTTCAGTACCAGTACACAGACTTGCTATTAGTCCAATAATCCTTGTTGGAATTCCTCTCAGTCTCAGGACCTCCCAGAGTGATTCCTGATGCACCATATTGAACGCCTTCTTGGAGTCGATGTAGGCTGCAAGCAGCCCACACCCAATCTCTCGGTGGTTGCTGCTGTCCCATCGGTCCCCCTTCCCCTTCCAGAGAGGGATGACCACACCCCGCCAACAGGTCAGGTGGAACGGTACCGGACTGCCAGATGGCAGCCAGGACAGCATGCAGCCCATGTGCCATAGGTTCACCACCAGCCTTTAACAGTCCAGCTGGGATACCGCATATACCCGCTGATT